AAAAAATGAAATCGCATCATATGACCCCTTTAAACAAATGAAAAACGAAAAATGTGCCGTTTTTAAATTTTTTCAGATTTCAATATTAAATTAAAAAACGATTGGACGGAAGATACCCTGAAATTTGACCAATGAGAGAACAGTTTACTCGCGCGTGACTGTATTAACAAATTTAGTATTAACACCTGTAGATCGATTGCTTTGCTCCGAAACAGGGATTAAAATTATTACAATGTAGCTTTTTATTCTTGGTGGGGTTCGCTTTCACACGGCAATGTTATAAACGGACCAAATTTGTTAATACAAGTCACGCGCGAGTACACTGTTCTCTCATTGGTCTATTTCTTCATGCAACATACGAAAATACAAGCAAAGTGTTTTGCTATGACTAAAAAATATGCCCATGGAGGTAAATCAGACATCGCAGGTCACATTTGGTCAGTTAAGACGCACTACAACAGCAGGAGAATGCAAGCACATATGTTTTTAAATAATGTGTTAAAATAATCGACTGAAATCAGTCTTGAAGTCTTTGATTGTATAGGAGCAGTTGACATGAAATTTCAAGCAGTGAAATCCTGTATCATAATTATTCATGCATTTTTAGGACTCTGAATAGAGAGGAATGCGTGGAAAGTGGTCCTGCGCACGCACTTCATATATGGCTATGGAATAATATTATGTAGTGTTGCATAAACTCATCCTTACCCTTCAGAGGCAGTGCAGAGGTCAGGAATAATCTCAGGGAAAACATGACAATGCATGTGCTGAAATCAAAGAGACACTAGCGGGAAAGAGCACACGACATGAGCATCAACACATTTATCTACATCTCTGCTCTCCTAAACACCCGAATAAATGAGAAGAGTGATTTTAGGCAGAAATCAGAGAACTCTATATTCATAAAGTGTGTCTCTGAACTCAACACAGCTCTGCAGCATTCAGTGGTGCCCCACAATATTATATATAACAAACATGTATCAAGTATCCATCCACTTGTATTCATTATGTATGGCAGAATAAAACTATTGTATATGGAATGTCAGTGCACTGGCTCTCACCTGCCTACTGATGATCATGATGAAGAAGATGATGAGGGAATCTGTGAAGAGCTTGCTGGCAGAAGTAGAGCCCACGGGACATGAGCAGCGTTCAGCCGTTCTCGGTGTTTCTGTCTCTTATGGACAGGTCCCATTCACACCACGCTTCCTCATCAATACGTGGAAATTCCACATTTCCAAATCAGTCCAGCTGTCCTCTGAACAGCACATGCAGAGAAACACAGAGCTTCACACGGAACATCTTAATGATAGGACACATGATGACTTGTGTGCAAGCAAACATACCAATCGGTCTACAGGCTGTTAAACAGATTACACATTGTGTATTTGACCGTATAGTAAGCTTTGAGCACAAAGTGTAGCTGTTCTTTGTGTGCTTTGTGTGACGCAATCATGATGTTCTAAAGCAAATGCCTGCGTTTGTACATTTTGGAAAAAAAGAGGAAACTGATGACTCATTGGTAGTTCCCCTACAGACCTCTATGATATATATATATATATATATATGTATACACACACACACAGATGTGGTACTGGAGATTCAGCTGAAGCGTGCCGGTGGTAGTCCCCGTGTTCTCTTTCAGTAACCGCTACATAAATCAGTCATGCTCAGTCATTTTTAACAGCAGCACTGCCTATTAAAGATTGTTCATCAACACGCATGGCATTAGTCACCTGTCCTTATTCTCTGATGTTGTAACCTCACACAAGTGTAATGTATATTCTTGGGCACTCAAGCTATTCTTTCTCACTCTCTTATTAAGACAGAGAGGAGATTGCATGTGCTGGGATTTCTTCCAGAAGAAAGGTCACGGACTTCTTGCCCCATCTCTGTGGTTAATTTCGACCACTAAATGCTCATATTGTCATATTAGTCAGAGTTAATTGTCACTGTGCAGGACATAAACTAGAGTTGTGAATTGCATTATTTGCTCCTTAATTCTGCCACTTTGACATTTAATGAACTGAAAGACTGCACAAGAGTCTTTATATTATTTAGGCACTCCTAATGAACTACTGCTCCTAGAGAGAACTACTCCTAATAATTCACAAATAAACGTGTGTGTGTGTGTGTGTGTGTGTGATCTACACACAAACCATCTTCTGAAAGAATGTTGAACGTCTGGCTCAAACACAGTGAAGAAGCAGAAACAAGCGATCCCGTACGTAAGCAAATGAATATGTAAAATTAAATACCGCGATCATCAAACATCTTGATGGAAGCGATTGATTTAATCTGTTTTGATCATCGATCTGAATCTGATCCAGACATAGTCTTACAAAAATGTGATTTTCTCAGCTTTTTTAAATGAAACTTACCCATTCAAGTGTTGATTTAAAAAAGAAAACGAAGCTAGAAAAACTGTTTTAAAAAACAGTGTCAGGGAAAGAGTTAGAATGTAGCATATGCTGAATGCATGGCATAAGTGAAAGCCAGTCTCTAGAAACTCCTAGTTTCCCGCAGTGCGGGTCAGGAATCACTTTTGCTGCTGCAGGACTTTGGATAAGTGTCCAGTAAATGTAAAAATGAGCAACTCGTGAGGGGAATGATTGAATAACATCACGAGATTCACCGTAAGACTGTTTTCAGAATGCTGTGAATGAAGCTGATGCGTGTTCATTCTCCAGGAGATTTCTGAGGTCTGTACATCGGAGAAGTTCAGTCATCAGAAGCATCACGAGCATGTGGTGTGTCCAGCAGCAGAGCATCTCATCTTCATGCACTGAGACAGATCTGCAGAAACCTTCCCAAACAGCAGAAATGCACTGGAACGACAGCGGAGTGAAGAAACATCATCTGCACCATCCCTTTACACACAGGGAAAATAACACCGGCATCCCTCCTTAAAGTAAAACCAATTTATTTTCAAAGAAAAACAAAGGACCATCAGGAAAATACAGGACTTCCTGTCATATAGAGTGAGGACGAACGATACAGTGCCACGACTGAAAACAGAAGAACAGCTTCAGAGTCAAAGCAGTGCTGAGGAAACACCCGCTGCATTATTACCACCCATTAATCAAGAATTATGGCTGAAATCAAAAATAAACAAAACAATAATGAGCATTAGATTCACAAAACTTTGCTTGTTTAAACCTTTTTTCTTTTTTTCCAGCTGAATTTATTTCAGGTCACTAAATCAGGGCAAGAACTGAAACATCACAATGGCTAGCTGTGTTTAACTGTGTGAAGAGCTGAGAAACTCTCCAAGTTAAAGCTTAAAGAAAGCGCCAAAGCAGTTCTCATTTCGTGGCCGTTTCTAAACACGTACGCTTCACTTTCAGTGTCTGCCACTGGCACGAATCACCTTCTTCTGACAAATCTCACTGAAAGTTCAACAGCTTCGCTGAAATCTTAACATGATCTAATGCTAAATAACACAAGTAACAAATATAGAACTTATAGAACATATAAATCTATAGTGTGTGTGGGGAGAGATGAACTAAACAGAGAAAATACCTCCAGTAACCACAACACATTCACTCCAATCAGCAGATGAGTGTGTGTGTGTGAGAGTGTGTGTGTGTGTGTGCGTCTGTGTGTGCATGCGTGCGTGTATGTGTGTGTGCGCGCGCGTGTGTGTGTGTGTGTGTGTGTGTGTGTGTGTGAGAGTGTGTGTGAGAGAGTGTGTGTGTGTGTGAGTGAGAGTGTGTGTGTGTGTGTG